CCAGCCTGGTCACCCCCAACTGCCCCCCCTGCAAGCCTGGTGGCCCCCAACTGCCCCCCCCCCCCTGCTGGCTTGGTCACCCCCAACTGCCTCACCTCAGCCGGCCTGGTCACCCCCAACTACCCCCCCCCCCGCCAGCCTGGTCACCCCACACAGCCTGCTGTTCAGTCATTTGATCGTCCCTCACTAACCCCCCTGCCGGCCTTCTCACCCCATGCAGCCTGCTGTTCAGTCATTACTGTAACTGTGATGGCATCCTGAATAATTTGCATATTCCTCTACTATTAGTATAGATATAGGTAGATACCACATCTTCTCGATTCATTCATTCATTGACAGACATTTAGATTGTTTCCATACCTTGGCTATTGTGAATAATCCTACAGTGAACATGAGGATAGATATATTTTTGAGATACTTATTTCATTTCCTTCAAATATATATTCAGAAATGGAATTACTGGATCATATGGTAGTTCTATTTTTAATATTTTGAAGAACATTCATACTGTTTTCCATAGCAGTAATATGCGTTACATTCCCAGTAACAATGTACAGGGGTTCCCTTTTCATCACATTTCCACCAGCATTTGTCTTTTTGATAATTAGAATACTAACAGGTGTGAGGTGACAGCTCATCGTGGTTTCAATTTGCATTTCCCTGATGATAGGTGATATTGAGCCCCTTTTTATACATCTGTTGGTCATTCATATGTCTTCTTTGGAAAAATACCTACTCAAGTACTTTGCCAATTTTAATTGGGTTATTTTATTTTATTATTTTTTTTGCTATTGAGTTACATGAGTTCCTATTATATTTTGGATGTTAATTATATATTTGGACATATCCTTTTTGGATACGTGGTTCACAAATATTTTCTCCTATTCCATAGATTGCCTTTTCATTTTGTTGATGGTTTCCTTTGTTGTGCATTTGATGTAGTAACACTTACTTATTTTTGGTTTTGTTGCCTTCGCTTTTGGTGTCAAGTCCAAAAGAAATCATCACCAAGACCAATGTCAAGGAGCTTACTCACTATGTTTTCTTGTAGGAGTTTCATGGTTTCAGGTCTGACATTCAAATCTTTACCAATTTTGAGTTGATTTTTGTGTATGGTGAAAGATAGGGGTCCAATTTCTTTTCTTTTTCTTTCTTTCTTTCTTATTTATTTATTTATTTATTTTTATGCGGATATCCAGTTTTCCCAAAACCATTTATTGAAGAGACTATCCTTTTCCTATTTTATATTTCTGGGGTCTCTATTCTGTTCCATTGATTGATGTGTGTTTTTATGCCAATACCATACTGTTTTGATGACTATAGCTTTGTAATATAGTTTGCAATCAGACGTTGGTATTTTTATGACCATTATTTTGAACTCTCTATCATGTAAATAACATCTCTATTTCATTAAGGTCAGTTTCTGTAGACTAATCATGTTCTTTTGTTTGGAAGATACTCCCTTGTTTCTTCATATTCCTTCATTCTCTCTGTGTTGGTTTCTGCACATTAGATAAAACAACATCTACCTCTTTCAGTTCTAATAGATTGGTTTTGTGTAGGAGATGAATTTCATCAATCAGCCCAGCCTGAGCTCCTGGTTGCTTCTCAAGCTTTTGTGATTATCCAAGCGGCCATCTTTGCTCTTAGTGGCTGCCAGTAGTTGAGGATGTACCAAGACCCATCAGTGACCCAAAGGGGAGAGTGCAGTCAGCACTTAGATGCAGGCTGATTAGAAGCTGGACCCCCAGGCAGTAGCTGTAAAAATTTGTAGTCATACCTCTTCCGGGAAGAAATTGGGAAATGGGTGTTTTTACCTGCTCCCTCTGTGCTGAGTCCTGAGGGGATAGCCACAGCACACCCATTAACAACTGATTCTTTGTTTGATATAACCCTGTAGAACTTGTGAACATAAACACTGTTGGCTATCAGAGTTAGGTGATTTGGGGGCCTAATCCTCAGGTGGGGGAATTAAAAGTTGGGTCTAGAACAGCCGTGGGCAAACTATGGCCCGCGGGCCGGATCCGGCCCGTTTGAAATGAATAAAACTAAAAAAAAAAAGACCGTACCCTTTTATGTAATGATGTTTACTTTGAATTTATATTAGTTCACACAAACATTCCATCCATGCTTTTGTTCCGGCCCTCCGGTCCAGTTTAAGAACCCATTGTGGCCCTCGAGTCAAAAAGTTTGCCCACCCCTGGTCTAGAAGTATGGTCCAGATCCTTCATTCCTCAGGGAAAAGTTGGGAGTTGGGGTTCTCTCCCAATTATATGGCACTGTGCTAGGGTTGGGGGTTATGGAGAGAGTGTGTCTCAGCCATTCCTACCTATTTTGATGTGGGTATTTTTTCAGTCACTGTATGTGTAGGAGTCAGTCAGCTAGTTTCTGGATATCTCTCAAAGGGACTTGCTCCATGTATAGCTTTACATTTGGTTTATCTATGGGAGGAGGGAAATTCAGGAACCTTTTATATCACCAGCTTGATCCGGAGTCCCCTGGATAATTTTTTTCAATCACTCCATGCACCTCTCTTCCTTATTACCTCCATCTTTCTTTCCTTCCCTCTCTTAAGGAAAAAAAAATATATTTAAGTTCCCATTAGTCCCATTTATTCAACCATTCAACAAGTATTTGATTTCTTACTATTTGATTGCTGTATCCAAGTCACATTTATGACTTCAGTGTCCTTAGCTGATTTCTTTCCAAATGACTTCTTTAAAAAGAGACATTGGTTTAGCTACTGGTTCCTTAGCCCTCGGCATGTAGAGTCATGTTTCCATCCTTTCTTCCTAGTAAATATGATAACTATATGGTTCAGGCTTCCATAGGAAAAGGAGGAAGGGTAACTAAAAGTCTGGGGATGTTGGGCCTAGTAACCAGTCCAAACCCCTCTTTCTCTTCTGTTCCTAATGCTGTGTATATTTATTTCAGTTGTGCTGATGAGAGGGGTCATTATACCAGCAAGTGTGTGGTGGAGCAGATCTTTGTCCTAGGCCTCGAGAAGCAGCCATCTTCTGTGACCACCCACTCATCTGGTGAGGAAACAAACCATTTATTTTTGTAAACATAGAAATATCTAAGGTGAAGAGGTGATTAGCCCTAAAACTGACATAATGTCTTAGCCAAGTGGACTCTACACTTCCTGGTAGAGGTCAAATATACTGCTATCCAGAGGGAGCAAGGCCAGCCTGCTTCTCTTCATCAGCTGGTCTTTCTGTACACTGTAAGCTGTTGATATTTTTCTAAGGGAAATTAACTTGGACCTGAAATAATAGTGTGACTTCTCTATTTTTGTTAAACTGTAGATATCTGAAGCCCTACTTGTGTTTATGGAGTTTCTGAAAGGGCGTAGGTTGAGATACATCCTTTCTAACATACTGAATTTCTTAGACAAACCACTTTGTTCCTTATAGTTTATTTTCAACTGATCTTACATTCAAACCATGGGAGTGTTTCATATTTAAAAGTCCATGGGTAAAAATTGTAGGTAAAATTCTCCTAAGTAGGGAATAAAGTTTTATGACAAAGTCAGAAAGATTTCAGATACAAGGAAAGAAATTTTCTCTCCTAGATGTTCATCAAACTTTCCCTTTTATTGTCTTGATATTTAGATGGTAAAGATCAGCCTGTGGCTTTTACATATTGTGCCAGAACATCCACCCTGAGCCTGGAGAACCTCTCGCTGAACATTGGCACTGACTGGGAGGTCCACATTAAGTGACAGAGAAGTGCATCTGGTGACGAGTACAGGGAGCAGCCGGCACCCTTCAGCCTCTCCCTTGGCCTTTTTTGAGATTTGTGCTACACATTAATTGGCTCAAAAAAAAATCCTTCATTAGTCATCAGTTTACTAATGAACAATAGATTTTAGGTTTTACATTTTTAGATGTATTATTAATACTCCTGTGTCAAAACACCACCTCTTCTCCTAGATGCAAGGAGCCCTGAGACGTTTATAGAGTTCACTAGAGGCCCGGTGCACAAAAATTTGTGCACTCGGGGGGGAAGGGGGGGTCCCTCAGCCCGGCCTGTGCCCTCTCGCAGTCTGGGACCCCTCGGGAGATAATGACCTGCTGGCTTAGGCCTGCTCCCGGGTGGCAGAGGGCAGGCCCAATCCCTAGGTGCAGCCCCTGGTCGGGCTCAGAGCAGGGCTGACTGGGGAGTTGGGGCGCTGCCCCCTGTCATGCACAGAGCAGGGCGGATTGGGAGGTTGCGATGCCACCATCAGTCACGCTCAGGGTAGGGCTGATTGGGGGGTGGGGCACCGCCCCCTGTCACACTCAAGGCAGGGTCAATGGGGAGGTTGCGCGCCACCCCCTGTGATGCACCAAGAGCAGGGCCAATCAGGGGGTGGGGCGCTGCCCCTGTCACTCACAGAGCAGGCATCAGGGGTGGGCACTGCCCCCCCCCCC